AAATAAATATATATATATATCATACATATACATAACTCAGATAATGAAGCCTGTCAAGGGCGCGAATAAGCAGCCTTATTCGCACCCTTTGATTTCACCGATATTCACACTTGAAATTGTTGAATAACCCCTCAGCTGGGCTCGAAGATTCACCTATATGTTTATTCATATATATCACTCAGAATATCTAATTTATATAAGCATAAACATTTAAAACATGACTATTATTTTATACAGTAGTTGTCTGTAAATAATGTTTTTGGACTTATATTTACATTTGCCTATGTTCATGATGATGAATATGACAGTTGTCTCATTTATTTATCTTTGCTTATACCACATCTTTAAAACAAACCGAAATGACCACAGTAGGAATACACTTTTTTTGATGGCTCAATTGGTGCTTCTGTGAATCATATTCTCATTGATGCTTAATCTTAAGCTTACCAGGAAATTGGTTTGTGCTGACCAGGACGGAGTTGTGAGGGGCCTGACTGTTCGCGATCCAAATGGACGTCTTCGGCGGGTGGTTTTCTCAGAGCCACACTTTGTCCTTGGCTACAAGGGCTGTTTTGCACACGTGGATGTCCAAACATCTCATAGGAGGTTGGTGTTGAACATACAGTATTCAATGGCAAATTTCTACTATTGGGTTGGTTCGCTAAAAAGCCCCCCACAAGTCAAAATATATAGCTATGTTTCCTTATTTTTTGAAAGATGTTGGGATGTGTGGAAGTTTAGTGCAATTCAACGTGTTCTTTGGGACGGGGCCTACTGTAACAAAGTGCATCCTAAGGTTCGAAATCTTTCCGCTCACCAGAAGGAAGTTATTGCTGGTCTGTCGGCCCCGAGCCAATTGGATGCCCAGGAGACTTCTGGATTGAAAGTAAACCTCTGAAATTTCCAATGTGTCTTGCAAATGGTCCATGAGCATGTGTCACACCAAAATTTGAAGTGCCCTTTTCCATTTGTTTTGGACACGATAAAACTGCCAAAAAGGGCACCGATGATAGGTGGTTGAAATGATTTTTGGTAGGTGCATTGGTTCCAAAAGATCACCAAACTGTTCAGACATGATGCATCGATCCTATATTTTTCTTTTAAAACTAAGTGACGCAGCTCTGTCTTCCATGATCCGAAGTGCTGGATGGTCTGCAGGAGCGCCGTTGCCTTTACGGTGCCATGGACAGACGCTTCAGTGCAGGAGGCAGGGTTCATTCTTCTGGGATCTACTGATGATAGCCTACAGGGCTTTGGGGCCTTCAAAAAGCAGTGAACACCTAACACAACAAAAATGTCCCATTCCGTTTTGAACATCTAGTGCTGTAAAATAAAACCAGTTGCTTTGTGATTTTTTCTGCGCAACAGATCTTCCAGCGGAGCTTATGGAGAAATATGCCGCTGCAGCGGGCAACCATAGCAAGAAGTTTGCAACTTACAAACCAGTTGATGTGTTTTGATCGCATGCCACTGTAAATGCAATGAGTTGTCACTGCGACCTTTCACAATTCAGTTACATGATTCCCCTGTCAAAGGTTCCAGCTCTTGAAAGAGTTCCTGTTGGCCGATGAGATGCATCTCAGTTGCATGACGTCGGTGTGTGTGAGATGACTTCCAGTATCCAGAGTCGGAGCTGCCATTCAAAGCATCCGTCCTAGGCGTGGTGTGCAAATGGAAGGTTCGGTTGAAGCGAAACTTAGCTTTCAACCTATGGAAGTCTATTGTTGGAACATCAAGCACGAAAGCATTTAGACTCATACTATGAAAAAACTTCATTGTGAAATCTCTGCACGTGTCATTCCAGGAAAAACCGCAGCAAACAAGATGATGTCTATCATGAGATCTCTCTGATGGATCTGGAAATTCAATATGGGTCTACTGAAGCTGGCAGGCTTGGTCTATGAATGTCTATGAGATCTTTCCCAAGCCGTTGTTCAATCGATCCTGGTGGTTTCCAACATCATGATGGTTTGAACAATATGTATTTCCAGTCTTGTTTGGAGGCAGTACATAGAGGACATCAAGAACTCGCAGAAGGGACGACCTCACCCTGACAAGCAGGCCAGTTGATATCATATGATGATGCACCTGAAACAGCTGTTCTCTGGAACCCTAAGTACGAAATCACCCTAAGATTGCTAAATTATTTTTCCTTTAACATGGTGGAAACTGTAAACCTTATTTTGGCCTGAGAAGTCCATGTGATCAGGGATCAGTCTGGCCCTTGTGCTGTCCTAGCTTTTCCTCCTCCCTTGCATGCAGTTCAAGAACAATCCCCAGTACCGCATCTACAAGATCTTCAAACACACGGCGAAAAAGAGCACCCCTGGCTTGCAGTCGATACCAGTGTGCACACATGATCAACCCTTGTTTAGTTTTTTCAACATTCAAAAAATGAAACTGTTGCCATCTTGTTGCCATCTTCTTACAAACCCTATGAGAGGGTTGCATGAGAAACAAGTTATTCCCTGAAGCTTGCCAGGCGGCACTGAAAATGTGGCAAAGACTGCAATCAAGAAATCCTTTTCCATTGGGGAAATGGATGATGAGAATGAGGATGAAGAGAAACCAGAATCGGAAGGAACCAAGAAAGTGCTGGATGGGGTGTTCGAATCCATGATGCCCCTATCTGGGGGCAAAAACAAGAAAGGTCGGGATGAAAGTGACGATGAGGATCCACCCAGCAGGCGCAGACAGACGCGTGCAGGACAATCTGCACAGGACACCACCAAAAAAGAAGACCCAGATGCCGAGATGAAAAAAGAAGTCAGTAAAGTCATCAAGGGGTCTGGGCCTGTGTTGGGAACCTTGCATCACACCATGTACACTGTTTTTCATGTCAAGAATCCATGCCCAGGTTGAAAACTCTTGCGACCAGGGCTCGTGATGTTGGCAACACCCTCCACGGCCTTGCTGGAAACAAGGCAGGTGAACAATCCATACCTCAGGTAGCCAGTGGCTTTGATTTGGTTTTGTTTTCCCATGGTCTTAAAACATGTTTGAGTACAGTACCCGACATGGTCATGGCAGGCAATGCGGGATGAATGCAAATCAGTATTCACTTATGTTGGCAACATGGCCAGCGAGTGCTTGCCCTAGACAGGTTATGTTTTTCTTGTTGACTGACATACAACTGCAACAGTTATATAGTGTGTTGCAAAATGAAGCGAAAAGAATGTTAGTCCTCTTGTTTGTTCGCAGCTGCATCTTTCCATGGGTCTCACTTTAGGATGGAGATGATGCTCGTGGATGGTCACACTGTTTACCAAGTGAAGAAACACTATGACAAGCACCGCAAGTTGATTGAGGCAGGGTTTCCTTGGAATTCATCTCTTTGCAGATCTCGCCTATTTCTCCGTACATGTAGATATAGCCTGTATTTACTTCAGCTAAAACCTCTATTAGAAGTAAGATCTATCAGACTCGGAGGTAGTAACTACCAAGTTCCCTGCCCTGTCAAAGAAAATAGAAAATTATACCTTGCAATGCGTTGGCTGATAAAAGCAGCCACGAACTATACATATATATATATATATATAAATACAATAACATATAATATTTATTTTTGCATACAGCACAAATGGTTCTATATATATATACATATATACATATATACATATGTACATATGCATGTATGTATGTATGTATGTATGCATGCGTGCATGTATGCGTGTATGTAAGTATGTAAGTATGTATGTAAGTATGTAAGTATGTATGTATGTATGTAAGTATGTATGTATGTATGTATGCATGCATGTATGTATGTCTGTATGTATGTAAATGTAAGCAAATGTAAGTAAATGTAAGTAAATGTAAGTAAATGTATGTATGTATGTACGTATGTACGTATGTACGTATGTACGTATGTACGTATGTATGTATGTATGTATGTATGCATGTATGTATGTATGTATGTATGTAAATGCAAGTAAATGTAAGTAAATGTATGTAAATGTATGTCAATGTATGTAAATGTATGCAAATGTACGCAAATGTATGTAAATGTATGTAAATGTATGTAAATTTATGTAAATGTATGTAAATGTATGTGAATGTATGTAAATGTTTGTAAGTGTATGTAATGTATGTATGTATTTGGATGGATGGATGGATGGATGGATGGATGGATGGATGGATGGGTGGACGGATGGATACGTGGTTCTGTATGTATGTGTGTGCACTTACATGTACAAAACCTTCATGTATATATATACATATTAAATTATATACATCAACAACCCTCTTTATACCCCACAGTTTTCCAACGTGCAAACGCCGCTGACTGAAATGCATATCCAAGCAGTCAGTTTCCAAGCTGCCACTGCGAGATCCACGAAGATGCCATCGAAAGCGCCAAGTCTGCTGCCAACACCCTGAAAAGACGCGCCAACCTCAGTGCAATGTCAAGTTGACCAATGCTTGTGCATTTAAAAACAATGCACATCTTCTTTTCGAGGTCAAATTTGCTTGTTGGCTTTGATTTGAGGTGAGAAGAAAAAGAAGGAAGATGCCGCAAAGAAGGCAGAAAAGGAGGCAGCAAAGGAGGCAAAAAAGGAGGCAGCAAAGGCAGCAAAGGAGGCAAGAAAGAAAGGCAAAGAAGTTGAAGAGTCAGAGTACCCTGAGCAAGAGTGGGAAGAATGGGGTGCTGAGTGGGATGACTGGGATGAGTTGTTGCCCCAGGAGGCAGGGGTGAATACAGCTGACTACTGCCATCACAGTTCTCTGCAAGTGGCTTCAATCTATTCAGTTTTTCAGCCTGCAGGAAGACGATTCCTGATGGATGCCCCCGTGCAGGGCATTACTTTTGACGTTTGAGGGGTGTGGCATTGCGTATGCACCATAGAACATGCACATGGTGCGCTGAGTGTAGGACTTCACATATACTGCAATGCAGTATGCAGCATATCGGTGCGTGCAGGTGCTTTGCTTTGCCCAGATAAAACCAGATGCGAACTTTCTGGAAAAATGTTTCTGTGGTGATTGCTTGGTTGAGCCTGCTGACAGTCACTCATCTTAACCAAGTAGGTTGCAAACACAGAGAAAATTATCTTCTTATTTGGCCCTTCACTCCAGACCGGGCGTTCAGCCCAGCAACAGCGCAGGTTCACCGTTGCCAGCGATGAAGCGGTCCTGCAAAGGTGTCCCGAAACTGGTTGAGCAGTTCTTAGAAGCTTTGTCTACAGGGGAGGCCGGGTTGTCCACCTTGGGCCATAAAAAAGGTTGACTTAAACCAGCATTCTTCCGAAAGTGAATGGATAGTTCGTTTTCTGTTTGTTTGATGTCCAGAGTTCAACCTGTAACAGATTGTACTGTCAGCAGCGTTTCTTCAAAGATCATGCAGGTCTGAAAGTATTTGCGAGCAAAAACCCTTGTCTGACAGGCGAGCATGAAGCGATTACGTTCTCTGACTGCTGCCTTGCTTGAGCTGCCCCACTATTTGGTGCCGCTGCCCGACTTTACTGGTGGAAACAAGGAGACCCATATTCAATCGTTTTGTTAAAAAAATCATGTTGCAGAAAGGTACCTCTGACATTTTCCTGAAGCTCTTGCATGTGGGCTTGGGTCCAACATCCAAAGTAAGTGTATGTTGGGGTACCCTTCAACACTTTTCATGTAAGCTCAGGTCAAGCATCCTAGATCTGGCGCAATCGTTTGAGAATGCACAGGGATGGGCATCAGAACGTATCTTCTCCCGGTGGGTAAACAAACAAGAGTGGCGCAAGTGTCTGCCACCCATCTTTGAACTATGTGAGGAGCGGGTAGCTTGTTTGAGGCATATGGCCAAAACAACATTTTACTAGTTAAAAATCCCCAGGCCTTCATGAGGAGATATGATTATTTCCACCTGTGCCGAGGCAAACGGGCGTCCTTATTCCAGGATGCAGCATGTTCGACTTGGCATTTTTCTGCCTCATGAAGTGGCATCTTCGTTCTATCACTTTCGGTCTGGTGATCTGTTCTACGGCATGTTGACAGGAACACCCCATGTCCCTTGGTATTCTTTTATTACCATTAAAATCCATTACATTATGACAGGGAAATTGAATCTGATATTATGGTTCACCAGGGTATTGCACTGTGTAAGCTTAGTAGTTTGTAGCTGCAAGGAGGAATAGACTAGTGGCCGTTATATTTTCGTCCAACAAAATTTTCCCATATGCAACCAAATTAGGGTTTGATCCCAGTGGGTTCTATTAATGGTTATCTTTCAGGAATCAGTAGGGTGGGTACTTCTATCAAAGAACTATATATAGATATGCCTCCTGGCATCCATTCATTGAAACTTCCAAGGACCTCTTTGAGTACTGGAACCACAACCCCGACTTGGCTCATGATCTGCGAACGTTTTGGGGTGATTCTGGGCCAAAAACTATGGAACGAGTTTTCCCATTGAGATTGTATGGAGACGGTGCCGACACTATCGGTTTGAACAGTTTTGAACTGATGAGTATGATGTCAGTGGCTCCCAATCGGTCCTCTTCCCTGCAATCGCGTTTTGTGTTGCTTCAGCAGCAATCTGAATTGAGAAAACAATTTCTGTTTCTTGTTGGGTCGATGCCCCAAAAAGGTATAAGTATGTTAAACCCTGTAGTTTTGAACGCGCTCCAGTGAACAGTGTGTTGATTGATATAGCTGTAGATGTAGATCTGATTGTACTGCCATTGACCCTATCTAAGGCTTGCTATTCGGAATGCCCGGTACACCCATGACTCGGTACGCATGAAACTGGTGAGAATCATCGTTTGGTCTTTTGAGGCTTTGTGTGACTTGGATCTCATTGCACTTGAAATCATGCAGGGATGGAACCCCGTTTGACCACTAATGTTTCCACAATGCAATTTATCGGATTGTCCTTTTTCATCCCAAATTTGCATCAACTATGAAAGAGTTGGTGGGTGTGCAAAATTTCCCGTTTTGGAACCCTATTAATTTTTGAAACCCTCATTCAAGGGAACATTCTTATTACTGTGGGATGGGTTTGGGACCATGTTTTCGTATGCCCCTTCAAAACGTCATGTCAAATACGATTCAAAACTTACCCCAGAAAAGGACCGGTTTCTTTTACCTGGAAGGTCACGGTGTTTGGCCAAGTCACGATTGGGATGGTGTCGCCTTTAGCGAATCCTATCAGCCGCAGTGGTGCAAACTTGCTGGAACCGCTATTTGTGGTGGCTGGAGGGGTATCATGGATGGCATCCAGGGAGATCAGGAATTCCTCCATAAATTGTTTAGATTCAAGAGATGCTGGACTGCAGTTCAAAAATATCTTCATTTTTTAACCACCAAACATTGGGTGCCGTCATGTGGAAATATATTTTTTCTTCAAGTTGTGGCAAGCCAGGATCTTGGCATTCAAAACGCCGATTGTCATGTCAGTATTGCAATGCTGCATCATGGCTTTCCCCTGGGGAGCCAGAGTCCATGCTATTTACTGCTTATGGTCCAGAAGCAGAACACCGATCTACGTTCCTTGATCCCCTGATTTTTTGTGTCTGTCAAACAGCTTCTATAAGTATATTCGTTTGGGGCCCACTTGTGTGCCAATCAATAACTGAGCAAAAATCTTGTGAGGCTGGTGACTGACGCAGAGGATTGGATCAGCGTGCATGGAGAAACACCCCTTTGCAAAGTTGCAGGTTTTTCACCGTGGAGATTCTTGTCGTGTTGAAGTTTGGAACTTATTTATAAATTAGTTAGATAGATAGATAGATAGATAGATAAATACAAGTATATATATATGTTATTTTCTGTTGTATTATTGTATTATGTTATACTATATATTATATATATATACACTAACGGGTCTTTCAATATGTATGTTCGAAGTTGTAAATGGGGCATCTCGCAATGCTGCAGCCTAAGGAATCTACCCTGACATGCTTCATATTATGGACCTGCAACTCTGCCACGATGTGATTTCCAGCTGTCTCCTTGACCTGTCTGACGGCAGCAGTCCTCGTGAAAGAAGGCTGCAGGAGCTGTCTGCAGAGTACGAACTCTGGTGCCATGAAGATCGCGGCATGGCTCAGATTCAAAGCGTGTGTGCAGAACCCTGAAACGAATTGATTTCAACGTTCCTTTTAAAACGTGGTAGTTGGAGAGTGACCCATGTATGGATGTCTCTGCATTTTTTTAACCAATCTTGTTTCCACAAAAAAATAAATGGTGGTAAATAGTTCGAAGTGGTGTTGTGTGATACAAATTCCGTCTGCAGGCATCCCATTTGCTTCCCGTGCATCGCGAAAATTGTTCACTTCGAAGATCTTGGCTGGGGATGGTTCTGACAAATATTGCGTCATTTCCCAAAAAGTTCTGAAGGGGATCGCTGCCAGATTGTTTATCTATTGGTTGGCTACATACTTGACTGGCCTCAAGCAAACTTCACTTCATTACCGGTGCCTTTGCTTTGGGATGTAGTTTCATCTGTTTTATTTCCACCCAACTTTGCGAGGTACATGTTGGTGGTTGACGACACATACTGATGAAATCTGGGTTGTGGATGCTAAACTGGGAAAAAAAAGTTGGTCCCCCTGGAGGGCTTGCTGTCCATGCCACATTAGGCACACGTGCAGTGTTTGCCTGGCTTTGGTGGAGTTCTACACAACGTGTGCTGAACATGGGAACCTTGATGGGCAAAACAAAAGTTTTGGTTTGCCCACAATGCCTGCATTTTATTTTCAAGTTTTGCCTTAAAACCACGGCTGCAGCCAAGGAAATGGTGGCCACGGATGCCATGGACCAGCGATCACCCAGCTGTGCGCTTGCAACAAGCATATCTCCAGTTCCGCTCATCATATACTTGTTCCCTGGTTAACAACTTGTTTTTTAGATGTGGGCCAGCATACATGTGTACAAACATTGTGGGAATTGGTAGGTTTCCTTCCTCATGTTTGCATTCCTGTTTCATGTCAAGAATACCCAAAGTCAGGGGTAGTTTTGTTGCAGTCTTCAGTGGCCACTACAAATGCTAAGGGCTTGCTGATACAGCGTTGAACAATGAGCAGCTTCGGTGGCCTATACGCCCAAAACAACACCAGCACGAACATCTCGTGTATGACTTTGCGATCTACCAAAATCCAACACACTTTTCTTGCACTCTTGATGAGGATATTATTGGCCGCCTCAAACAGGTGACCAAACACACACATCCCAGCACCATGTCCATAAGGACTTTAGAGCATTATGCTGTGCTGGCAGCCACCGTATGGGTTGGTGATTTGGCATCGCGTTAAAAAAAGCGTTGTCAGGAACTGCGACGGTTGAACTACCCGATTTTGTTTCTTGCTGGTGCTTTGAGGGTTCCCCAGTAACTTGTTTGAGGTGTAAACCGGCATGCTTTAAGGAGGAAATCCAAAACTGCTCTCGGTTTGCTTGAAAACGTTGGGTCTCTTAAGCAAAGAGAGATATGTATATGCGTTTATCTTTTTCAATATTACCCCGATATTTTTTAATATGTATATATATCAATAAATGAATGTAAATATAAATATCTATTATATATATATATATTTATTTATTTAATATATACATTCATTCATACATACATACATACATACATACAGACGGACGGACGGACGGCAGGCAGGCAGACAGACAGACAGACAGACGGACAGACGGACAGACAGACAGCAGGCAGGCAGGCAGGCAGGCACGCAGACAGACAGACAGACAGACAGACAGGCAGGCAGGCAGGCAAGCAGGCAGGCAGGCAGGCAGACAGACAGACAGACATACATATATATATATATATATGCGTAAAGGGTCCTTGGGTATATGTGGGGCGGAAGTTTCCAAGCAAGAAGAAACAAGTCTAATGCAAGTAACATACGTGCATATACGTGCGCATGCTCAAGGATTTGCTGACTGGATGCAAAAAGCGTCCATTGCAATCAAAGAGTGATTGACTGGCTCCCTGCTTTAAGGGATGTGTCGCATCTGCAAATGTTCTTGGTAGGCTGGGATCGAACTCAGGCTCCTTAGTCCAATGACCAATATGGATCGCCTTCCAAATTTGTTGGGTATGTGGTGGGTGGGAACAAGCTGGGTCGAAAGATTCCATGCCAAAGTCTGGAGAGACCTATACTACACATGGAGCATGCCCACAGAACTGTGACATACCTAGAACGGGCAAATGGATTCAATGACCAATACGGCTCGCCTTCCAAATTTGTTGAGGGTTTGGTGGGTGGGAACAAGCTCGGTCGAAAGAATTCATGCCAAAGTCTGTAGAGACCTATGCCACACATGCAGCATGCCCACAGAAGTGTGACATAGCCAGAAATGGCAAATTGATTTATAAGGGTTTGGGTTGCATAAATCGTTTATAGTATCCTTTTGACCTGTGCTGGCACACCTCTCTTCGTCCGATGTGGTGCCTCAGGGCCTTGTTGAAGTAGTAACTGTACGTCTTCTCCCACTCTTCCATGAAGACACGGTTGGCTCTTGATTCGGTCGGTAATGGGTACTCTACCCCGACTCTACCCCAGGTCCAACAAATTTCTCGGAGTAGAACTTGCCACCGTTGACCGGAAGAATCTTGAGCTTCCCGATGTCCGTGCCAATGTTGAGCTTCTTGTACATCCTGTGGTCGGAGTATGGAACAGCCGATTTCATTTCTTTGCATGTTGTAGTAATGCCCCTTTGACTCGCTGTGTCGACAATTTCGTTCAGCTCGTCTTTTGACATAGGGCCCTTCTCTTCGGCTCTGACTCCATTGATGCTCTTTTCTCCATGGGCACGATCTCCAATGACTGATAGTGGGATTGCTTGAAGATACATGTACTCTTCAGCCCTGGTCGCTTTGTAGTTCTGCTGGCGGAACCGTTGCTCCTCTTCATCATCTCTTTTGGGAGTTTCATCTTTTTCCACATCATCGCCCTGTAGCTTCTTCCTCAGGTTGATCAATGCTGATTTCACCGGATCACTACCTTGTTTGGGACATTCATAGTTGGGATGGCCACTTTCACCACATTTCAGGCAGACGTTGTTGTCATCCGCCAGGGCAAAGAGTGCGTTGATGGCCTCGACGATGGCACCTTTGTCCTGAGAGATTTGGAACTCCTCTTCAGGATTCGATGGAGATTTGGGTGCTTCGTGCCTGTCCGGGGTGGTCGACGAACCTGCCCCTTCAGCACTAGCTCCCGTTCCTCCGGCCTTCGGTCCTGGGGTAGTCGACGTACCTTCCCCGGTCCTCGGACCTTCGGACTCCATGTTGTCATCGTTGGTGTCATCGGCCTTGGACCTCTTGTAGTTCTCATTGATGACGCTAATCTCCTTGTCCTCAATCAGGCATGCATACTGCAATCCATGGTACACTGGGATGTCACGTAGGATTTGGTTCACCAGCGCCTCCTCATAGTTGGTAGGTTCGGTGACCCTCGATCCACCTCTCTTCGTGTTTGGAGTCGTGGTAGATCTTGTCGTCCCATGGAAAATGTTGATTGATGCTTCCAGGCCTGCAAGAAGTTCGCCTGGATCGGCCTTCGTCTCCATGAACGTGATCTGAGACTTCGTCATGTTGGCCAAATCCAACATTCCAAGCCACATTTCGACCACGTCGCCGCACTTTTCGGCCGTCGCATCAGCATATCCCATGACCTCCGTGAAATCATCTCCGAGCACCATCTTGAGGTAGTCCTTGTAGAAGACATTCCCATAGTCCTTGGTGACACGATATGCAAATCGTTCATGGGCTTCGGCACCATCACCCAGAGTAAACTCTTCTCGGATGACACCGTATTGTCTTCCACGTTTCCCAACAAAGATCTGTTTGATGCGATCTCTGGGAACTCTGACCATTCCAAAGTGCGACAGTGCCTTCATGAGGATCTCGCCGTGCTCACATCCCTTGTTGCCCACCATCGATTTGGTGATGTCCTTGAGGAACTGCACGAAGTCCTTCTGAGGGTCTGTCACTGGATTGCCTGATTCCATCATGATGTTGAAGAATGCACGGGACCGCGCCGCCGTTTTCACAATCGTCTTCCTCTGGTATTCTGGCGGCCATAGTTGATAGTCCTTCATCGTCTCGCTCGCTCGGCAAGCAATGCATTCTTTTCCACAATTGAAGTCGTGCCTCATTTGGTCGGTTGGCATAACTTCATCATCATCCCCATTGTAATGCCCTTGACATAGGATCATTTCATCTCGCCCATGGTTGACGTAGAACCACATGTCGTACATGTTCGCCGATGGCTCAGGAAGAACCGATCTGACTGTGGCCTCGATCCATGGTGCCTTCTCATACTCAATGTTTGATCTTCTTCCACCTCCAACGGTACCTGGGCAACTGGACCCCGTGCTCGCGGTGTCAGGTACTCCGCCTCCTGTTCCAATCTGAATTGAAAGAGGTTCCTTGAGCACATCCTCCATCAGCTCCAGGTTGATGCCGACCTTCATGGAAGATTCCTTCACCATGTCGTTCAATCCTTTCGCAGCTTCAACATTGAGGGAACACATCAACAGTACCCTCTGTCGAAACAAGTACTTCTCCATGGTGGCGAAGACTCCCAATCTTTCCGGCCTATTTTGGTTGTTCATATAGTGGTTGCCGGCATGACCATACATCAATCGCCACATCCCATCATCAGTTGTAACCATGATACCAAAGCTCCTCAGGATGTCGGCTGAATCCGTAGCGACGTCCTGAATGCCTGATCGGATACCATGAAACCTTGGGTCCTTGCAGAGCGACACAAAGATAGGTCTTGTCGCCAACTTGTCGACCCTTCGGATCGCCTCAGCGAGCCTCTCTGCATAATTCCTCTCAACCCAAACGTGATATGGATGAGTGTCTGTGATGAGAAATGCAAATGATATCCAAAAGTGGATGGTCACATTCTCCTCGGCCGCAATGTCTGGCATCACGCCCTTGATCAGGTGCCCGACTGCATCGAGGAACTTCTGGGCTCTGGTCACGCTCTTGAAGCTGTTGATGTCAATGACCGTGACGACATATCCCATTTCATCAAGCCCATACTGAATGTTCGTCGTTCCCCTTGAGTTCGATTGGCACCTGTAGTTGGGGTCTGTGATCAAAATGGTCTTGCCGAACCTGAACTTTCCTGCCAATTCATCCTTCTCTTTTCTCACCATTGGCTTGTCCACGATGGTTCCACCGATGCCCGACATCAGGCCTCGCTTCCACTTGTCGTAGCTGCGGTCGGTAGCCTGTGCATCATCGTTCTTCTCCACCATAACTGTCATGGACCCAACAGAGAGATAGTAATTCTGGTAGACCAGTCCCCCACGCTTCGTTGCAGCGTTGTAGACTCTCAGCCATTCCATATCGCTGAACGGGTAGGATGCCTCACCAATCTCCCTTGCATTGGCTAGTCCGAAACACAAGCAGGTGTACGTAGCTACCCTCCTGAGGTTTGACGCCAAGTTGATTGCGCCACATTCGCCATTGGTCCCTGGACATGTGACAGGGCGAGCTCAGTGTCGGTAGCACTCACATGGGTATTCAAAAATGATCTCACCTGAGTGCCTGTGTAGTCCGTCAACACTCTGCAATATGTGATCACATTTGACGGTGTCATTGGTGGAACGTAGTCCGTTGCAGGAGTCTCACGTCTTGGCATTGGCTTCGCCGCAGGCTTGGGTGCCGCCTGCGGTGGCGTTGGTGGTCCAGCTGAACCTGACGCCTGAGGTCCCGCGCACTCGGTCCTGATGGTGCCGATGGTGACGTCGGTCTTGCCTTCGGCGGTGGTGGTTGTGCCGATGGGTAAGGCTGTGGTGGTGCCTTGTATCCAGGTGGCGGTCCAGGAGGCGGCTTTGGCGTGAACCTGGTGACCCTCGGTGCTGGCACTGCTGGGTCTTGGGTCGTGACCCATTCAGGAATCCACGATCTTGGTGGTTCTGGTGGCCAAACTCCATCTCCAAACCTCAAGACTTTTCTCCATCCACTTGCAGCTACTTGTACCCTGGATTGTCCTCCACCAGCTTGAGTTTCTGAGAGAGTTGTCATGAAATCCCTCAGGGCAGAAAAGCATTTGTTTCTTTTCTTGATCTCTCCGTGGTTGCCCTCTTCGACGTTGATGACGTTGTAGCCATGGTTCTGCAAGATTTCTGAAGTGAGCATCAGAGATTGTTGAATCTTGGCAAAGTAATCGTCAATCTTTTTGATGTTCGCTCTTGCAATCTCGGAGAATGCCACAACCTATCCAGCTTAGCCCTGGCCCTGAAGATCGGTGGCGATAGAGCTAGGATGCAAGTGAAGTGATTCACTGCGGCAGCTCGTTCGCGGCCCAACTTGGTGTTCTGCTCGATGAGGTCATTGATCGTTGTCTCCAACGTCATAGGATCTGCCATCTCTCCCTCATCGTCGACCTTTTGGTTGTAGCATCTCCATGCATGCCCAAGATGGATGACTTGACGTTGCCACTCATCGAGCATCGCATTGAATGTGTTCTGGGTTGAAGTCGACTGCCAGGACGTGCCCATGTCGAAGTAGTGGAGCTCTCGATGAATCGCCCTGAACGAGATAGTGATGGGTGCATCAGGGGCAGACGGATTGAGAACTCCGTCCTTCTTCCTTGTTGCGCTCAACCAAGTGTCCTCTGCCGGGACGGATTGGTTCACACCTCGTAGGTCACCTCCGAAAGGTCGAAGCTTGAATTCACGAAGGTGATCGCGTAGCATCGAGACCGTGAATGCTCCATCGATTCGAATCGGGTGAGGTACATGGAAGTTCTTGATGCACTCCCACATGTTTCCCAATCCATTGATGCACTCTGATATCCCCGACCCCAACTGGTTCAGGAGTAGGGGGGGTGGATCCTACATTTCTGATAATGTATGAACATAAGGGGGGGGTTAACCGAGAGTTGGACTGTACCGGACTATGAGGCAAACGTGTTATGTATATACAATTATATACATATACATATATATGTATATAATATATATATATATAGGCTCAAGGCTGGGGGTTCCCCGGAGCTTCGAGGAACCCTCAGTCTTGATGCTATACCATAAAGGTCGTTCTTGTATAAAGATGGGGGGTGGGGGGGTGGGGGTGGGGGGGTGTGTAATAACTTCATGTGAAGTGCGTTGGATGATGTTGAATCCTGGAAGATGTTGCTTGGTTGGAAGATGGTGTTACGTTGAAAGTTTCGTTGTTGTTTACAGAAGGGGGGTGAGGGGTGTGTAATAACGTCATGTGAAGTGCGTTGGGTGATGTTGAATCCTGGAAGATGTTGCTTGGTTGGAAGATGGTGTTGCGTTGAAAGTTTCGTTGTTGTTTACAGAAGGGGGGTGGGGGGGTGTAATAACGTCATGTGAAAAACATAAAACACTGTAAAACACAGTGTGAAAACAACATTTTCCATCGCCATCAAAAAAAAACTTCATGGACGCGAAGATAAAAAAGATGTGATGTTCATTTCGTCCATGGTTCTCCAGTGAATTATCACATGTTCTACTTATCAACAGAACAACCAAAAATGCATGAAACCGCACTTCCAATGGTTAGCATGTTCCACACATCTTTAGTCATCCATGGAAGATCTAAATTTATCCTGTTTCGGCGCGGACAAACGTCAAGTTCTTCCGCGATGAAAATGGAACTTCGATTGATCAAACAATTTCAGAGAAAAACATAAAACACTGTAAAACACAGTGTGAAAACAACATTTTCCATCACCATGCCAAAAAAAGGTTTGTGGACGCGAAGATGAAAAAGATGTGATGTTCATTTCGTCCATGGTTCTCCAGTGAATTATGACATTTTGTACTTATCAACAAAAACTCAAAAAATGCATGAAGCTGCAATTCCAATGGGAAAAATGTTGCACACATTTTTGGCCATCCATGGAAGATGTAAATTTATCATTTTTCTGCGTGGACAAACTCTGAGTTTATCCGCGCCGACATTGATACTTTCACTGATGGAACACTTTGAAGGAAAGGCAAAAAACACTGTAAAATACAGTGTAAAATCAACATTTTGCAGATCCATACAAATAAATTGCAATTGGCTTCCGGGGAACCCCCAGCCTTCGCCCTATATATATATTTATTTATATATATATACACATTTTGTTGATGTACACACAAACATTTTCAGTTCCACATGCTAGTAAACTTTGGTGGGGTTTCGACCTGGAGTTTCTTAGATCTTGACCACAGCCCTGCCTTTTATTGCCATTGATTTCTTTGCAGTTGCTTTGGCACTGGTGTCGCTGTGGGCAGACATGTTTCTGAGTGCTCTGCAGTGGCATGGCTGAATGCTGACAGCTGTGGCCGTATTCAGTAGATACAAGCTGCAGGATACTATAGGAATCTATACGATACTTTAGGAACTCTCAAGAAACTATAGGAATCTTCAGGATACTATAGGGTTCCCATAACAAACTCAACAACCAAATGCTTCTTGCTGAAAAGAAGATGGAAGAAATAGAGGGAAAAATGAAAGGTTGGGAACACTTCCAAGAGAGAGCCAAGTTGAATGCCATTCTATGTGATTTCCTGCAAAGAGAAATTATTCTAGGGGTAGCGGAGATGTCCGGAACTCCTCAAAAAAAACAAAACATGACAAAACATGTGACAACCAAGCGCATCTTAACCTTTTTTACCCCTTACCACGCAAGGCCATCGGATGCCATCGGGAGTTCTTTGGAAGGACATGAAAAGAACATGGACGAAATAGGGTGAAAAATGAAAGGTTGGGAACAATTCCAGGAGAGAACCAGGTATAATGCCATTTTGAGGGATTTCCCCAAGAAAGATTTCCAAAGTTGTTTGATGTAGTTTAGGGATATGTAGGGTAGGATGCAGTGTGGGATGGCACCTTTGAAGATTCATCCCTTGGGGAAAAAACAATGCATCTGTCCCAGCGCGATACAGACATGTGCAGAACGAATGGTGCCAAACACCATCATGTTCAGCTATGTTCAGCTTAAGTATACTCAGCATATACCTGGAATATTTTCCAGCATGAGGTTCACATGTTGCCAGAATACTTTTGGAAGCAAAATTGCTGAAAATTATTCCATACGTAAGCAACGTATCGGAATATGTTTCCAACATAACCTTCGACGATGGCGGAATATTTTAAAACTAAAGGACCGGATAACCCCACATGTCAACTTCTTCCAACAAGCAGCAAAAGAAAGGTAAAGATAGCATGGGGAAGCAGGAAAGAGAAAAGAGACGGTGAAGGATTGGTGCGGAGCAAGTTGTGTGTGGAAGATTAAGTACGAGTGATTGATTTGCATCCAAACAGACGGCCAGCTAGACAAACAATACTGAACACACTAATCCAATAACATCAAGTCGCCTCAGACAGCGCCAGCTCTTTCGCAATAACATCCACGTATAGACCGGTATGAGTAAGTTGTGTATGCATGTATGCATGTATTGAACAGCAGCATCTGCGCGACGAAGTCGGTGCCTGGCAGAACAACAGAAAACACCGGCTGTCACGAAGACTGTTAGTTTCAGAAGCACAGATTGATAACAGACATATGAGCACCGTCAACTGCAACAGCACTAGCAAAGATCACGACATCGCAGCGTGGTGGACCTGCCAAGCGACGGCGGCAAGTGCAGTAATGTAGCTCCCACTGAAAGCAAGCAACACAAGAATAGTGGCAACCGATTGCACAGAAACAGTTCTGATCGGTCATGAACATGAACGTGATCTTTTGTTCTGTCGCTCACATGGCCGCGTTCAGGCGCTAGATCTTCGCACGGCGCGTCAATCCATGCAAGCTAAAGCTAGCTCCTTTGGCTATAAACGGTATATACTGCACACGGACTCCGGATCAAGTTCAAGATCAGGTAACAGCTACATCGAACAGCACGGACACCTACGGACAACCGCGGACGGTCACAAAGTCCAGAAAGTCTCCTCCAGTTGCAATTCTGCGATACACAGCCAAGCGGCATATGGCAACGACACCTCCGCTGCAGACTCCCACGCGGCACGCAGCATGCCGACGTCGCCCACAGCAGTTTCA